GTTCGTGGCTTGAGCAACTTGAAGGTAGCCACTTCAGCGATTACTTAGAAATCACTACACCACAACTGCCCCTGTCGCAATGGAAGCCACGCCACTGGTGCCCGTTGGGACATCATCCATTTTGCAAAATTTTTTTCACTGTGCGACCATGTCTCGCCGTGAGCCCCGTCCTCGCGGCGCTCTCAACCACGCTCTACACCGTGCGTACGACGCACTCATGCCACACCGACGTCGTGACCCTGCACGCTTGGAGGTAAGTCTTACCATCTTGGCTTTCCAGCTACTCATCACCTCTCTCTCGTTGTCAGGAACCTCGTCCGGTCTACACCAATCATTCGGCTGGACAGCCTCCACCTGCAGCGAGTCTTCCGGCGCCGCGTGTTCTTGGTAGAATTAACTTGATTACTGTATGGGCCAATATACTTCCCGCTACAGCTTCCCAATCTTGTACCGAAGACACTTGTTCCTGATAAGGCAAATTCCACTCTGTTATTCCTTTAAGTCTTGGCGGTCCACTACCTTCTGCCCATCCCATAGGTGCTCATACTATCCTTCCGTAGCCCGGTCGCGTGGTACTTACCATGGGTACAAATCAGTTGATGCGTCAACAGTAGATCGCATATCGGAATGATTGCACAATGTCGATCTACTTGGACGATTACGTAATCTTCGTCGGTGACAACGTAATCACTTGACGCGTCGCCGTCGACAATGAGCCCAGAGACTGGATCGAGTCATATTCCATCAATCAGTCCCTTGCCCACCGAAGCCAACTGTCACTTCACCACAGTCTCGTCCTCCCACAAAATTTAATGAAAGCGGGCATTTTGTCCCTTTTCATGGGTGACACGAGTGGTACTGGAGGATAGACCCTCCAAAGGGGGCAAAATGCCCCCTTTGACCACGAAAGGGATAATATCGCCAAACTTGTGGCCATACAGGAAAAAAAATAGTACCTAAAATCGTGGTCAAAAATAAGCTTTAATTTCTTAGTGTCTATTGATTTGACGCTGCCAACAGCGCCATTAGCGAGAGAAAAGCAACAGCTGTATCGTAAGCTATATCTTATCTTGAAAAAAAAACTACATGTATTTATGGCCAGAAAACCAGAGAGTTGTTACTTAGGTGGGCCAAGAAGTACGACGCTACGCTCGTGCTGCTCACGCCAATGGGGCTAATATGCACAATGTGCTTCGTTTCATCGATGGAACTGTAACAAGTCTAGGGACGTCTGCTTGCCGACGGGTCGTACATCTCGTGCTTCTCGCCGCGTTGTTCGTCCAGGTCCGTAAGAAATTTAACGGAACCTAACACCTGTTGTCTCGGTCACCCCACGATAACATTCCTACTTTAGTAATAGACTACAATCGTTTGGCCTTACTCGGCCTCCTGTCTACTTCGTCCGTTTGTTTCGGTCACTACCGAATACTTGTAGTAGGCTCACTGTGTGCCCACTACTTCGGCTTACACGTTAGCACACGTGTATGAGAAAGCGTAGTTTGCTTAAACTTAGATTAACTATACTTACGTCTCATAAGTATAGATTTACTTAA